CGCACATAAATCTAAAGCCTAAGGAATTAATAAAATATAAAATAAATTTTTTTACACAAAACAACCGCTAGTTAATAAAAATTTGTATAGAAAGACTTTTAAAAAAAACATGCAGAAAGTCGGAACTTGTTTTTAATTGTTGACGACAAGAAATTACTTGAACTAAAAAATATTGATGATAAATGTACTACATGACATAATCGTTCGTGATCCAAATGTGAATCTATTATCCCTTCACTTGCTCTATCCTAAAGAAAGATAGTTTAAAATTTTTTAGTGTAACTCAACAAGTCTCTGGTAGTTATATATTAACTAAACACACCGCTGACACCACCCTATATTCATAGGCATACATTAAAGTGTAACAAAGTGATAGATATATAGCAAGAGAAGGGGATATTTAAAAAAAAAGACATCTGTTAACCAGCTGGTTAATGCATCCATGCAAGTTTAACTGTTTTTTTTCATATCAATTTTGTCAATTCTTCATCGCTTTGTCTACTTCTGAAGTATTGGAAGAATAAACACCATATATTCGAAACAATACAGAACTATTAGAGTTTACATAAATTTTAGATGCATGCATAAATGAAGAATGTGGATTTATTTATATTTACTTCACATTTGAAACATAAATTATAATTATGACTCAATTTCTTGTATAGGCTTACGTATTAGATTTATTTATCATTTCCTATCCATCTTTGGATTCAAAACTAATATGTTTATGTAGATAATTAACAGAAAAATGAAACAGAGATGAATGGACAAAGTAAGAGATGAACAAAATATAAAATATAATGTATTACTTATGCATATGTACTCAGATATTTATCTGCATACATGTTCACATGTGGAGGCTTATGATCCAAACGTAAAACAATCAAATATTTTGAAAAAAGTGTCTGGATAAGAAACTTTATCATCTTGCAGATAACTTGGATGAATTTTCATATATCTCAAACACGGTAAATCTTATTTGCATTTGAGTTTGTCTCGAACTAACTGAAGTGAAAAGTAATAATGACAAGTATTACAAAGCATACATTTTCAGATAACGAACAATACATGAATTAATTATCATTATGTACTTATTCATATCAAGTACGATTTCTATGTACTTGATTGAGTACAAAAACAATGTGAAACTTATCAAATAAAGATCAGGATTTCACATTTTCGTAAGACATTTCAGTAATGCCTTAAAAATTAGAATATTTACATGAATACAAGTCAACAATATTCTGAATAGAAAAAGAATATACGGCACACACATACTGACATTTAATAGGTAACACAACATGACATCAAATCTAATGTATGAAAAAATAACTCCTGCGACCATTAAATATAAGTGAAAGTGTAGAAACTGAGTAGTTTTAAATTTTGAAACGTATATCTATGGATTTATTCATACTCCCGCTATGTTTGATAAGTGATTTAAATTTTCGTAGTTCTTTTAAAACCCCTTAGTTATCGTTCAATTCATGGTGATACAATATTTTTTGTCTCAATTTTTATTTTAGTCAGTAAAACAAAACAATCAGTAAACATCAAAGATTAACGCATCATATTTCAACATATATTCATTACACAAGTTACTAAGAAGACGTGAATGCTTAAAGACATGTACTTTATTAAAAACATCTTAGATAAATAAAATTAAGAAACATGATTTCCTTCGTGTAACATTCCTGTTGACATTGAGAAATAACAATGTTTCTGCTGTCATAAAAGCGCTGAGACTATCAGGGTTTCAAGGATTGAAATCGATAGCGTTAGCCAATTTGTAAGCTAAACTTAGTTTGAAACGAACTTGGAAGGAGGATCAAAGGAATTGTGACGTTAAAGATAATGTTTGCTAAGAGTAACTATGAATTTCTTAAATATTGGTTTCGTCTACAGTCCGAAAGTAGTGATTCACTAACGGTTATTGAAGGATCTTAATGGTTTACTGCTAGTTATACAGCACTATTTCAAAAAAGTACATAGTTTGTGCACCTAGCAAGTCCATCAATCGACTGAATTTCATTGGCTCTGAAAACTTGAACATTTATCTAGATACATCGATAAGAAATATATAGTGAAAACCAAGAGTTTATTACTATGGAAATAAATACATGAGATAGTTTTGCCATGTGAGCAACGTGTTTAGGCTTATTAGAATTAAGTAACATGAAATATTTCCCTTCGATCTTTTGTTTAATATTTGTTCGATATGCCGAAGAAATAAAACTGAATAACTTCTAAAGATTCATTAAAAATATTTCTGGTTTATGTCTGGAATTATATAGGACATGTCTGTGCATGTTATTGAATTCCACAGTTGAATAATAGAAAGGAAAAATAGCAAGTAATGATAGCAACATCTGTTTTCCATGTTTTAAAAAAATCACCTATGTGTAGTATATCCATCTCAAAGATATTTTTTAAATCAAGAAAGGAAATTAAGTTTTCCTTACTAGGACTTTTATAATCTTTATATTATTTTTATGTTGATAAAGAAAATGGACAGGAAATTAACCAACTTTTTTATCTAGTCAGTGTATGAACTTATGATTTTGTATCTGCACATGTTTGCACAATTACCTCACTGTTAGAGATGAAATAAAGTAAAAGAAAGCTATTGATTAATAAATACAATTATTTGTATAAAAGTTCTGATAAAATATTTTGCAATGAATATCCTTTTTACTCTAAAACGTTTTGGTGAAATGATAAAATTTCATCATTACAATATACTTGAACACTTAGTTATACACAAACCACATGTCTGTAAAGAGTTGCATAATGAATACTAAGGTAAAAATTTATCACAACGGCAGAGAGTTTTTTGTACAGAGGCTACTCAGTCTTCCAATGGTTTTAAACGATAGTGATTTCAAAACCAGTTCACGGTAGAAAAACTCTAGAAATTTTTTTATCGGCCTTTGTGAAATCGAAGATTTATAGCCTATAAAATAGCAGCCGATTCATAATTAAATATAAGAAAATTAAAAACAATTAATCTGAAAGCTGGAAATGAGTTTTTGCTCAAAAGAAAATGAGATGAACTGCCCAAACAAGTAGTTACGTACTTAAAGAATAGATCACAAGCATCATGAGGGCCGAAGACCTGTGACAATGTCGCAGATGATGAAGCTAGGTGATGCATGTTCGAATCCCAGAAGGAGCATCAGTCCCTTGTAAGAATCTCTTTCTGACGAATGCCAACTAGCACGAAACTCAGGTCCATGGTTTACAACCTACCACTCCCAACCACTTACTATCACATGTATTTCCCATCACTTTATTTGGGGACCGATAGGTTTTTGAGAAGATCAAGTCATTATATATTTCCGCGTAGACAGGTCTTAACTTTCAAACTTAAGATAATACTATTATTTTTATTAGTAAAATCATAGGTAACCATATTAAAGTAGCGGAAAATATTGATAATTACTTTTTTGAAAATTCACCAAAGTTCCAGTCATACAATTGCAACAACCTTGGGTTGAAATTAGATATTTGAATTATTTAGGCTGTTTACTAAGCTGAAATATTCCCAATTATCTATCTAATATCTTTTAATTATGACTATCAAATGATCCCATGGTTACTTTAGCCAGGTTTTCCTAAGTATAATCAAATCTCATAACTTTCTTTCTTAATAGTCACTATCGAATCGTTTTTTCTATTGAATTCGACTAAATAACCTTGTCTATCTTTTTCGACATTCTACATTATATTTATTAATATACAAATATATACTTCATTACGATGATATTCAATACTGTATCAAATTTATTTTCATTGATCTAAACTTCGATTTAATTGGTTAGTAAATATTCACTTTACCAACTGGCTAATCTTTTTTCAATAAAATGTTATTTGATAGTTATAGAGTGTAAATTATAGATGGGAGACTAATCTAATGCAATAAAATTGAATTGATTTGTTCTGTTTAGTTTGTCACCTCTGTTCATTATATCTTTATATATTTATTTTTTCTAAAAATAAAATCAGAAATATATTTACGTATTGCATTCATCAAATGTAGTTGATAAACTTAAAAATAAAGAAAATTCTTTGTGTACAAGATGTTTATTTATAAAAAACTCAGGAGATCCACAGTGTTTTGCCTCCAGAATTATTTTCGAGTTCATATATAATTTCTAATAAAAAAATTAAGTTAATTTCTTTAACTAAGTTTTCTAAATTAATCAAAAAGTGATACTTTCCAAATATCTTTATTTGTGTGTTGTAATTTACGATTGGAAAACTAGTTTTACTAACTTTTACCAGTTATCTTAAATCATGTTGTTTCTGAAGTATTGTATTTGGAATTCTTGTTTTTTTTTCATTTAATTACCAGTACAAAAAAAGCATTCAAATATTTGACTATAGAAAATTTCAGAAATGTTTTCTTGACGGACCGATACAAGTTAAAGAACCTCTGAAAAAAACAAAGCACTGAACAACTGTTTTTCGCTTGTTTGAGACTTTTCAACCTAATCATTTACGCGGTCTTTTAAAACCAAACCGATAAAGTTCAGATCGTTTAGTTAGCGCACTAACGTTAAACGACTATCTATAAAGCAAGTGGTCTATATTACTAACTTCAATCCTTTGGTGACACAGCACAATCCTAATCCAAAATAATAACTGTCTTACTTCCAACATGGCTGAATGCTAATCGTCACTTGAACTTCAAAAATTCATTTTGAAACTAGTCACTAAATAATGTATGATCATCACTGGCGGTTTATCGAAAATTAGTTCATTGTGAAAAGATTTTCTATTATTATCGTGAAATAAAATTCTTGAGATCAATTAAACACTGACAATCGATCATGTCTGATTTTATTTAAAATACTATTTCATTAACTTTTATCTGCTGTTAGTGTACTTAAAAATCATTTATACGAATATTAGTCATCTAAACCTTAAAGTATTTTTCTTCAACAGTATTGATATTTATGAAAATTTATGAGATTGCTTAAAAGTGCACAATTACTTACAATGTATCCAATCAAAGGTGAATGGTATTCTAATCTTTATTGTTATTGACAAGATAAAAGTTCAGTTAAATGAGGTAACAACACAAGGGTTTGACTCGATAATTTCAAATAAATTGAGCATTGAGTAGAAAGTTGGTAACAAAATAAGGGTATATTTGTGGTATTCCAATGAGTTGAAATTTGAATTTCTGCTTCGAAGTTAATAACTAAATAACCAAATCAAGTAATTTATTGTTTAACTTTTAGTAAGTGGTTTATACTAAGCCATGAAACTTAAGAAACTGAAATTTCTATTCATTGACGTATACCAACTACTAAATTGTTTTATTATCATTACCTCGTAATCTGCTGGACCAGGAAGTTGTTCTTTTTCTGTTTCTTTGAATCTCTCCGACTGATAAACAAACTTCCCTTTTTGAGGTTTATTTTCCAATATATAATATTTTGCTGGACCTATCAGCAGTGGAGACACATTATGTACATTTATTCTCAACAATTATTAAAACACTCAAAAATAATTTTACCAACCATAATATTTTGCTGTGATCACTCAATATGAAATTAATCCACAACATTTTCTCGAAAATAGGATAACATTATATCTTTGATCCATTTCTCTGGCCAAAGTCATTTAATAGCCTTTAAATTACTATTCTGTCAATCACTTATCTTGTTTTCTGCATATACCACAAGGTGTTCCAATAGGAAGTAACTTCTGAGCTTCGTTCTTATTTCCAGATTTGTTTCAAAGTCACTCAGGTATTACAAACTTAATCCAAGTAGGTGAACCCACTTAATTAATATTCTAACATTCTATTATTTTGAGAACCTAGAATGCAAGTGAATTACTCCTAAAATGCTTAATTTTAACTAAATATAAGTTAACTTTAAAAATTCACTTTTCTGAACAGTTTTTTCATTAGAGTTTACTGTGCGAAAGGAAACCGGAAGATCTGATGTGGATGACACAGTTTCGAAATAATATATAATAAAAAGTTGAATGGATTGCCTCAGTATCAGCTTTTAGTGTAGTTTTCTGTTTATCCAAACAAAGTAAAGCGTGCAATAGTTATAATGCATTCAGGTGGACTCGTTCTATCTCTTTTTCGTCATTTCCAACACTGAATTGATGAAACACTTTGTATCATCAAGCTATGATCTTGTGGAAAACTCTACTACGAAATACGATCATAGTATAAAATGATTTAGAAAAATAATAAGCAAACCTAATCTGATCTGTGCTAATGGTATGCATCTACGTCTGTAAAATGAAATTTTGGAATATATAACAAAAAGAAGGAATTACTGAGAGGTCACAAAATAAACTTCACTATACAGACAAATGGATTTGGATTTGTGAATTAAATATAAAACAAAATAGAATTAGAGCTTAGTTGAAATACATACGGAATTTAACAAAATAAATCATCTAACAGAGAATTCCATAGTGCTCTTTAGTTTTACAGCACTAATAAATTATGTTGTGCTAGTAGACATTCTTGCTTGTGAAAATCAGAACTTCAAGACTGATACAATAGTTTGTAATTAACGCCAAAAGGTCTTATTTGTATTTAAATATAATGTCATTCTGTCCTACTTTATACTCTTTCAAACGTTAGACGATGCACTCATTAGGGTCTGTTGTAACTATTTTATAGAGATAATATTTATTTACTTTTCTTCGGTAGTCATATGCATTATAAATGCTAGTTTTGGTCATCCAATATTTTTTCTGACTTCAACACATTTACTCCTGGAAAATAGCAATATGAGAACACGATTGCTTTTTTTTTTACAAAATAACTGGTCTAAATTGTGTATACAAAGGTTGGAAAACGTAGTATATGGACTTCAAGTTATAACTGCCGAACAAACTGTTAATAAAATACCATGTTTTAGGGAATTAGTTTTGTTGACACTATAATGGTCATGTAATATTTACATAAGAGAAATTTGATTTCGAATATGCTTGTCTTTTTTTAAGTACCACTCACTAGCCAGTTTACAGTTTATGGAAAATATCATATATACTGTATTATATACAACAGTATATTTGATATTAACTTTGAACAGATCTTCAAAAAATATCGCTTGCCTGGCACATCAGGGTTTTTTGGACCCAACGCAGAATGTTTACCGAATCTTTCTGCAGTATTTGAGAAGCAATTTCTTCTTTGCCTACCTTCTATAGTACGAGGTACAGCGGGAATACGTTTGCATTGTGTCACATCAAAAGATTTTCCAAAATCATATGTGCCGGGTGGGGGCACTGACTAAAAATTTGAAAACAAAAACAGACTAAAACGTGGCATAATATTACTACATAAATATACGAATTACAGGTATTTACTCCGAAATCTTACTAAAATAACTAAATTACTGGTACATGAGAAATTAAACAGTTTAGGATATTGGTTGTCATCCGATTACAATTTTGACTTTTGTAGCAAACCCTACTTACTCAAAAATCAAACTTCTAGCGACAAAAAAGTAATGCCAATAAACTTAAGAATGTAAATATATTGCAAGTTAAAGCTATATACAAAAACCGTTGTATTTGTCTTAAGGGGACCATAAAATGTATCACCACAAGCTATTTTACGATCTTCAAAATCGCTGACTGACTTAATACAAAGATCGTCCTTTCGGTGCCTGGATACACACGTTGTACATTATATTTCAACAATCAATCAACTGACGACTCCCTCATCAAATGATATTATTGGTTCACTGGTTACTGGTTTAGAGCTAACTACAAACATAACATAAACTGTGGCGCTCACCTATATTATAATTATAAATTACACACGTAAAGAAGAACCATGTATTTCTCATCGATTCTACAAAAAACCTTATTTATAGTGACCGATATATAAATATTGAGTCCAATCACCTCAATACCTTATCCTTCTAAAAAAAATTAGTGATGATAAAAAATGGAGAAAATAAACAAAAACGCTAAAGAACGACATTCCGTTATATACTGAAAACAATTTTAAATAGTTTAATTAGATTTATCAAAAAAGAGCTCTAATGATTCTTCCTACCGATTGAGGCATCGATATCTCCCTTTTTGCCTTTGGAATTCCAACAGCTTTCGAAGTATATTTTCCATCACATTTTTGTGGATTATACTGTCCAGGGCCAGGAACGTCACTTAATCCACCGCTAAATTTTCCACCGAAAACTAACTTATCATTCATACGTTTAGATGTTGAGCCGAATCCCACACATTTTCCAAGTTGTGAAAAATCTAGGCGATATGTCAATCCATCATCAATATTATAACTATTTGGGGCTAAATATTAAAAACCAAAAAAAGAAAGAATAAAATGTTGTAATGCCCTTTTTTTAGCATAGAAATGCACCCTTCAAAATACCTTTGTAAACGTAGCTCAATCCAGACCACATATGATCGATATGCTGAAATTATCAGGTGAACAATATCTACAAACCCACAGTGTAAGTGATTATCAAGATCAGATATATGGACAGTGGATTCATTCGAATGAGTAAAAACTGCATTGAACAGAAAACATAAGTTATCACATATCTACCATGCCTCAAATTCTTTTACGGCTAACACATGTAGGTGAAAATCGTTATAGATTGACCTCATTATGATTACCAGTGAAAGTCAATAAGAACTGGACAACTGATTCATTCTAGTATGGAACTCCACAACACTTCGTACCCACAACCTCAGTAGGGATCAAAGCCTTAACCCAATCGTCTGGAACATGTACTACACATCTCTAGAAACCATTTATTGTTAAAAAATATCCGTATTTTCTGAAAATTTATTACAGCATGATTTGTACATTTGTACAAGTAGTTTCATATGGTTTACATTTTAGTGTTTTTCCTCCCGAGTAGTATCGCACCCTTCTTTTTTATCTTGTTTAGCAAAGACCATGTGTTATTACTTTTCGGACAATTCAGTGCCCCGTTACTAATAAATTAGTAAATAGATTTATGGTTAACGACTGTATTCTCATTTTATCCCATTCACTATGCAGATAAATACCCTAGTCAAGATTGGAATTCCGTCTTTTGATTAGCTGGAGCTGTAAGAGGAAAAATATGATTTTTGTCCACAATTTTAAGAGAGCGATTCTCTGGAATATTTACACCATAATCCAAACTACAAAGTTTGATAATGAATAATATACGATTAATATGAAAGATAACTATTAGTCATCACGTCAAAACAGAGCATCTTTTCATTTCGCTCCTAACTGTTCTTTTGACAACGGCAAAATGATGTTTTGCTTCTAAACAGGGTTTCCAAGACTATGCGAATTACTGGTTAAAAAGGCTTATTAACACGGTAGTAAATCAGTAAATTACTTATCTTTACCGTGATTTAAAGCATATAACCATCCCTAATTAATGTTCCCACTCCACAAACCTTATTTGTGGTTGTCTTATATCTGATTATTCGCGTTAATTTTTCTATACGATACTATAATGAAATGCAAGGATTTACACCAATGAACTCCTTGAGAGAGTTTTTATGTCATTTTATTTGTTTGTTTGTATATCTATCATCACTATAAACAGACGTGTAATTTAATAAGCTAACAAAAAGCATGATTCCTGTTTAAAAGAATCCAGTAGACATGGAAAGTAAGACGTAATAGGCAACACGCATAGTGTTTAGCCGAGTCTGGTAAAGGCTTAGTGATAGAAGCTGTAAGCTTGCAGTCATTCGGTTGAAGGCTTTAGTTTCCATCAACTCTGGTTTGAGAATCTGGGAAACATCATTCAGTTTCATATAAAACATGTGCACTGGAGAGAAGTATACTAGTCTAAATTTGGTTAATAAAAGGGTTCAACAAGTAATTTTTTTCACTTACCGTTATGAAAGTGGAACATGCTAAACTGTTCTTGATAAGAAATGGCACAAAATTACTTGTATAGTGATCATAAATTATATTCTATGGAGGTGCAACTTTAAAAAATCGCATTTCTGGGTACCCTTTTGTTATAAAGGTTTTCTCATTAAAATTAAGGGAGTATTCACATTCAATTTCAACGCCCTCATGTTTATCATATTCTTAATTTATGGTATCCAAAAGTCCAAAACTGATATCCGATTTTGAATGGTACATTATTTAGGGTTTCCAAATAGGATATACAGTTATTAATTAGATATGATCAAATAAAAACAGGAATAACATCATGATTAACGAATATCGTAGTTACGCGAAACACACTCGCAAGATTGCGGCACAACTTCCTCTGAAACACAGTATTACCTGTCTGTCAATAGTAAATGTAAAAGGATTCCAGAGCACCATTTTAGTCGAAAACTGCTTACCAACCTATGGGATAGGGAACTATATGCAGCAGTCACTAACCAGATTAACGTAATCTAGACTAGGGATAATATTTTTTTATTCGAAATCCCATTCATTGACAATGGTCAAACATGAATTGTCCATAAAGACTGAAATCTATAACCTATGGCTATACTAGGAAAAACTTTACGAGCAAATTATTCCTCCGAAAGCGTTCATTATAGTGAGTTGTCTATCTTAAAGGGGTTATTAATAATATTTCATTATGCATAACGTTCATTAAATACCATATGAAGCTATGTATTTAGGACTGATTCGATGACACATTAATAACATGGAATTCATGAAATAAAAATTTCTCTAATTATTATTACTATTTGAAACCAGTAAGTTAAATTTAATTAAAACGACTTATTTTGGAAGTCAGTTTTTTTAAGATAAAAAATTAATGACGGTGTTTTCCTGATTAACAATAGTTTGCCAGTTATTTTGTGACATTTGTTGCAATACGCGCCTGCTAATCAGCTTAAAATTTCAGGATAGTTGCGAAGTAATATGACAGCTGACCACAAGCTTTAGTTATAACGATATTTTGTATTTTCTTAAAACCAAGTTAATTCTCAGATCATCTTTACAACTGAGACTGTGGGTAGGGGTAGATGCTGAAGAAAAAGAAGAGCATAGAGAAGTTGCGTAGACTAGACTTTACGAAATACCATAGAAATATTACTGTGATAATGATATTGATGACCGGTGAAAAGGATGATAATCATACCTACAATAAACTCTAATACAATAAAGTTAAGATGAAATATTACCCACACCCTGTTTCTAACTAGTTTAAAATATGACCCTATGTTTGAATGCATAGCAGGAAGCACTGCATGTTGTTGATATGTGGAATGGCGCCACTCAGTTACACTTACTATGTTACATATGTAAGTTAACCTTAAAAAATCTGAAACCTTGTTATGGCGCCATTACATGACACATACAAACAATATTTCCCAAAAGGCTAGTTATACCAGTTACTTAAAATTGGAATGTTTCATCATTAGCCTGAAATACACACTGTTTGTAAATCATTACTTAAATAGACATCAAGTTTATGTTATTTTTTAAAAAGGACTTTATATTTTGTCATCTTTCCATTTCAACGCCATAATTTCCTAATAACAAGAAACAGTAGTTACCGAATACTTCTATGTTCTGTTAGGCTGTTTAGGGAAATAAATGACAGACTATTAAAAATTTAAAAAGATTACTTCTTGTCAGTTGTGATTACTGATATAAGCATGCGCAACAATGATATTCCGATATATGTAAGTTATATTAGTATGCATATGTTTGTGCACCTATGAGTAGTCAGTTGCATGAGGAGAATAAGTGATAAAGAGAAGCAGTTCTATTTGATGTCAACAATCATTTTAAAGGTCATGATTTATTCAATTGTGTCGATTGATGATAAAGGCTTAATGACTGTTCATTTGTTTGGATTAGTCAGCAAAGTAATAATAAAAATGTAGTTTTATTAATCTAAATATGAATGAGTCAGTTATTTCAACTCTCTTTGTTATCCTTTGTATCTTATTGTAGTTTTTAAGTGAAACGAAAGATGTTGTAATAAATTTCCTAAATTTTCGTTGACCACTTCCGTGACCACTGAACTTTTGTGAGTTGACAGCTTGCTAAAATTCGGAGGCACGAATTCATACGTCCATCGATTCATCAAAAGAATAGGAATCATGGTAAAGACATTCACAATCCATCTTACTCATTGTCTTTTCATAAACAAAAAGATGACCAACAAATGATTTTTCTAAATTTGATCTTGTGCGATCAGATAATCACAGTGTAAGTTATTCGTAGTTTAATACAATAACATGGTGAATACCAGGTTGACTACGAAAGATGACATCAGAAGTGATATCGACTTTTAAATATGCTGCAGCAATATATTTATTCCTTATATGAAACTTACATAAACATTGGATTGAAATGTAATATTTTGTTTTAGTGGATTGTATGTATTCAATTCACTGGAACGTTTTAAAGTCAGGCTTTAAATTGAGCATGTGCTCATGATGTCGGTTGTTTTCAGTGAACAATACTTAATCTGTTAAGAATCAATCCAGCAGTGGTTCATAATTTGATTAAAAACTGACTCTATAAAACCCATCAGTGACCGAAAAACATAGTTATTGAAATAATACTAGATTATAAAGTTTTTATCTGTTTATAGTAGTGGAAATTATTTCGCAATGTTTTTCGCAACATTAAAAGAGATATCCGTTGATAAAGTCACCAGCACTACTATAAATTAATGGATAACATTTGCCAAAACAATCATTTATATGTACACTAAAATCTGACCCTTGATAACCTTATACAGAATGTGTTATAGTAATCTTTCTGAAGTGTACGCTTTAGATAAAATTCGCTGTACCTAACTAAAAACAATATTAGGCATATCATAAGATGCAAAACAACTTAATACTGATTTAATATACGTAATATCCTATATGATCCAGAGATTTTCTTATTAATAAATAATGATACGAAACCTAACTACCAACGAGTAAGCAAGACCACTGATGTATGGAAGTAAAAACGTAAATATATTGTCCAACTAAATAAGGTTTAGATTGATACATCAAAACATACAGCAACAGTTATTCTATAAGCTTTCAAGGTTGTATGTAATCTGGAGGTAGACCATCAAAATTTAATGCGCCAAATTGTGAAGTTTGACCAGTCAGACTTTAACCCATCTTTCTCAACAAACATGAACATCCCATCTTATGTTCTCTGTCATTGAAATATAAGTTTTATACTGCTTTCATCAAAAGTTATTTGATAAAGAATTCTTCTCCAGTTTAATTTAGTTACATTTATACTTATCAAAGATCCCAGTTTTAACAACTAAAAACAAGACCTTAATATAAGAACACTGACATCCTGAATAAGGAAAACAAGTGAATATCCCTCAGTGAAA